ATATTGTAAACGATCAGATTGTTAACGTTTTTGAAAAATTGCATCTCCGGCCAAAATCTATTATTTGAAATAATGACAGATGCTAAAAATCGTTTTGAAAATAATATAAAATATTTTTAATTTTTTTTGCAATGCGATAATAAAAAATTACTATCATTAGTATTATTCGGTTGAATAATCGATTTAAATTTTTTTATCCAAGAAGTATATTGATATAAAATGTCCACTAAGTAAACATACTTATTATTGTTCGATTACAAAAATACCACACAAAGAACGACTTTGTGGTATTTAAAACATACAATGACAAAATACAATGTTGTATATTTTCCCACTACTATTCACAAAATATAATAACGATTATAAATTTTATGAATCTAGTCTATACACATATTGTTTTAATAGCATACCGTGCGTTCCATCGGGCTCAACCGTTAAAGCGCATATATTATACATTATATCTTGTGTGTATTTGGCTGACAAGTTGCTTCTCACAATGATTGTACAATATGTTGTACACATTAAGATAACGATATTTTTGTTTAGATTAAAACCCATAGGAACGAAACAAATCGACGAGAATCGTAAATTAAAAATTTCAAGATGTTGATTTTTTCCCCCTATTTTATTTTACTACTACAACGTTATTATTATTATAATTTTTGTTTTTTTGTTTTTATATTAAGTTTGACGGCGGATTTGAATGAAGGGAGATTTTTTTTAAACATTTCCATAAACTGTCGATTTTACAATAATGATATTTATAATAACGTACATATCGGCGCGTACAATGTTATTATTATATGCAACCATATATTTCACCATACTTATGGGTTTTGTAGATTTTTTATATAATGTACTTTTTTTTTTTTTTAATATTATTATTTATTCGACTTGAGTAGAAAAACCTCCGTGACATTTGATTATGTTCATTTTCCATTCGTTTCGGTTTCACGGTTAAATCCCACCTTCGATCCGTTAATCCGTTCGGAACGATTTTGGTCCTGAGCGGAATCCCAGTGGCGTCCTGTCCGGTTTTGCCCCCTTTAAACAACCGGAACTGGTCGTTAAAGTCTCTATTTCCCCCACACTCCGCAGACGCTAGACCAAAAAACAACCATTCCCTAAAATGCGGTTCCCGTTTAGTGGTAAAACTCTACACCGTGTTTGTGAGATGCCTAAGCGTAAAAAAAAACACACATTTCCGAAAGGGTTTAAATCTTCCAGACGCCCTCCGGTTGAGCCACTGGGTACGACTCCCCTACACTTAGATTTCATGCTGGTATACAGCTATAGCTGATAAAATTAAAAACCCGGTTTGTCAAATCAGTTTTGTGCAATACGTCATACTACGAGAGATAATTTCCAAAAGGACGAGCACTACCGTGTATTGTACACGGTACTGTATAATACACTATAGACATTTATAATACTTTACTTAATTATTTGTTATCAATTAGTTTTTCCCACCAAAAAAAAAAAAACCACATACTCAAACCATTAACGTCGAGTCTAACCTATCTTGTTTCTTGTTCATCTCAATAACTTCTCTTCGACTTTTCCCTGTAACCCTGGTGCCACTCCCAAACTTCCCCGCGTATTCTCTTACAATACTTCACACATCTCAACTTTCTCGTTTCAGCTACATTATTTCCCTTTCGATATCACCACATCAAACTATAATGTCAATGTTCTCGTTTGTTTTATTTTATCTCATTTCTTTTTTTTTATCATCATACTTATTACCAAATACATAGTTGATGTTGTTGTAAAATGTAATTTTAAGTACATTTTCCCCCAATAAATTTATATATTATATGCTCTTAATTTTCTTTCAATCCAGAGCTCTATCAACTAACGCGAGGAAGGGTGGAGTGTACTATTATTTTCAGCCGCACGAGTTACTTAACCGCACTCCACTTTCCGTCCTAAATTTTTAATGTAATTATTCAAAAATAAAAACTCGGAATACAAACTTGCATGTATTATATACAACGCAACGCGACCACGCTATAGATGTATTCATTGGCTTTTTTCTCATCGTCGGTAAATTGTATTTTTTAATGGAGACCCGGCGATAGGTATGAAAAAATAATACTATAATAATTATCCGTCGCATTACCGCGCCAACAATTATTTGTGTAATAATATCGTTGGCGTATCGACCTAACCTAACCTACCGGGCGAGTTTGCGCGTACACAGCAAGTAGGTACATAATAATAATAATACTATCCATGCTGTATATGTGTGTTTATATTTAAATTAAACTAGCATGTATAATATAATATATGCGTGTGTGTGTACACAACTATAGTAATTATAACGTACGCGTGCGAGCCGAAGAGCAGTCTCGGCAGACTCGCCGTATAATAATAATAAAAAAATGTATATATATATATATATATGTATATGTATAAATGTGTATATATACATTTATACACACAGCACACACTTCTGGCCACCGCCGCAATCGTTCCCACGCTTCCTGAGAAGTCCGTTTCGTATCACGAGTGTTTTATTATTACTATTTTTTTTCTTCTTATTCTTATTCTTCTTATGTTTTTTTTTTTTATTCCTAAGATTTTTATTCCGTCTCTCTTTTTTTCTTTTTCATTCACCACATCGGCTCGGGATCTGGACACAACGGCGGCGGCGGCGGCGGCCGACTACAATACAATACAATAATAATAATAATAATAAAAAAAATCTATACATATATATATTTATTATTATACCTTGTGCGTGTCGCGCATTATCTCTTGATTTTTCCCACCGTTGTCGCGCGAGCTCACTTTGCCAGCGCGCACGCGAGTCTTATATTATATATTTTTTTTTGTACCACCACCATCTCCATCTCTCAGAATAGTTGGTCTACTCCCATTTGCGGTGACCGGATGACAATGAATGGGCGATTTGTGACGGCCGGTACGTATATACCTATCTATTATGCGTTATACTATTATATATATATATATATTATTTGCCGTGTAACAACTGCGTGGCAACTGTACGGCACCCCCCAGAGCCGAACCATATCGTCATCGTCATTATCACGTCCTTATATTATTACAGGAGAAGGCGCGCACCGGTAAGCTACCGGACGACGGGTCCGTTTGACCGTGTCCTCGTGGACCGCGGCCGCCACCGCCTCGATTGTCATCAATATAAATATAATATATAAGTATACACATAAAGACACGCTTAATAAGATGAAAATACGATTTTTTTTTTTTCTTAGGCCGAGTTTTTCGTTTTTCCCAGAACGCCCGTATACATTCTCCCACGGCGTCTAAACAATACGCCGTGTACGCGCATTGCAATATGCAATGCACTGCTATGATAGTACTTGTTTTCAAGTCGAAACTGGCAGTCGTTAGGGTTTTATAAAATTGGAAAACAAAAATTACACCGGCTACGTTGTCCCAAGCCCAGTGCGATAGGTGACAAACGGTCGGATTAGTAAACACACCTACACCTTTTGTTATAACTACAACAAACGTCGACTACATTTATTGACAATGTGCGTTGGTCAAATAGCTTAAGAGGACGCGACAAGCCTTATTTGTTAAGGAGTTAGGCATATAAGCATTTTTTTGCAAAATCCTAATATAAAGGTTAAACCGTAGTGTGTAATTCTTAGTTCAGTAATTAGGAATCGTTTTCGGTAGTTGATTTATTTGTCGGACTATCGTTGCATCTTCACGGAAAAAATTCCATAGTTGGCCCAACTAAAATTATGGTTGTATAAGTTAATATAGACACAAAACAATTCTGGTTGGAATTACTAAACATACTGTTGGTTCAACTATTTGAAATGGTTTTTTTCACCTAAACATAGCTGCGACGAATGGCGAAAATAGCTACTCGGTTAATGGTGGTCTTAGAGCAAAACCACCTATTGTAAAATCGAAAGTAAACAACATTTTGAAGAGAATGACACATTAAAAGCTTATTATAGGCTTCTTTGGATACATTATAAATATTTATCTTCCAATTTAGCATTTAAATGACCTATTCTTTACAGTTTTTTAAACAGTTGTAACTTTTAAGTCTTTGTGTTTTCATGTAACGTGTATCAACTATAAATTTGATATTGTAATAAAATACTTTCCACTGTTTTAATTATTTTCGGAACACTAAAAAAATTTGTACTTCACTATGAAATACAACAATTTGATGTACCCAGTACTTGAATTACAAAACACAAAATGTATTTCAAATACTGTTCATCGGAGCAACTAGTTAATGCAAAACCTGCTCTGTATTGAAATAAATAACCCTACCACCGAATCAAGGTCGTCAGATGGAAAATATAATGAATCAACACGACTACAACGTCGAAGGCGCGTTAGTAGTTTTATCGTTTGATTTTCTAGATTTAAGAATCGTATCGGATAAAAAAAAAATGTTTCATCTATCAAAACGGACTCAAGTTGGCGGGACGCGATTGCGAAAATCCGTTTTCGGACACCGTCGAGTAGATCCGGAACGACTTTGCTCGCGCCAAAAAAAATTAAAAAAAAAAAACCCCAATAACAAAAAGTCAAATTCGCAGGTTATAACGTATTATTATATAGTATGTAATGCAAATGGGGGGGGGGGGGGTTGCGCGCAAAACGTGTGTACGACAATAGTACACACACACGCAAGTGTCGCCGAGACGTGATCCGGGTCCCTCTTTGTGGGCTTGTGTTAAAATTATTATTACACACACACACACACAAGGGCATATTAAATATTGTATACACTTATGGCACGGAGGACGCGTTCCGATAGAGCTGGCTGCTGCTGCTGCTGCTGCTGCCGGTACCTATAAGGAGCGCGCGCGCGCGCGCGTCACGACACCGAAGGGGGAAACCCGTGGGAACGGAATCGTCGGCCGAGGGCGCTCCCCCTCCCCGTCGCCGCTCATTTCGGGGGGGTGCGTCCGCCGCGGTAACGGTTAGGAGGCGTGCAACAGGCAGTCGTCGGTCGCTTCACTGTACAGTCGGTGGTCCGTTGCCAGACGAACTCTGTCGGACGCATCACACGATCGTACGTCACGTGCGTATTCAATATTGTACTTAAGTAGAAAATTTAAACCGTCGTAGTTTCGTGTTTTTTTTTTTCCCCTTTTTTTTTTAGTGACCGCCGTTACGCGTGGACTCGCAATGTTTTCGCCCACGCCGTCGCCCATTTCCAGGACCGTACAATACAGAAAGGTAATGCGAACGTTATCGTACCGCATACCCCCCGGGTGTCGCGTTACACACGGCTGGGGGGTTGTTATTCGAATTTTAAGTAATTTTGTAGATTGAATAATCGGGGGGGGGGGGGGGGTTCGTTTATATGTTCTCAAAAAGTGTTGGACTAATACTCACCGCTCCACCGGAGCCCATTTGTCTTTAAACGCCGATAACTTATTTATGTATGACCGATCATCGTTTCCAATATATTTGAAAACGCTAATCAAAAATGTACGTTGCCGTTTTATTTTTTAAAAGTTACCCCCCTCCCCCCCAAAGTAAAATTTAACAAAATGCGATCAACTTGAACGCGAAACACTGTTTTCGTTCATATTTTAACGTAATAACGATTTTATTTGGAACTTTTTTTATGTCAAGCCAATTTTCTCATAACTCTGTGCATTGCTTTCTATAAATGAAATTCCACCGGTTTTTCGATTTGCTTCGAAGTCCGGATTGCGAGTGCACGAGACCTCTCATGGGACAATTGGATAAATATTACAGATTTTTAACGTTTAGTTTTACAATTTAATATAATAATTATAGTTTTTGTGTAAGCGCAGATAAGCTTATGTTTAACTATAGACCTAGTTATTAAAAAAAGGGGAAGGGAGTTCTAAGCTGGAGTTCGGTAATCACCAAAATGCATTTACCATTTTTAACATTAGTAAACAATATAAACGAATTTATTCGTTAAAAAAAAAAACAAATTTTGTGCCAACACACGGTTTACCTTATCAATAATTAACACATAGCCGATTAATATAAGAATGATTAAATCGATGATAAGCTAAAATACAGTTTTAAAAGAACAAAAACAAATATAGACAATAGTGTTTTGTGATGGAACTGCAATATAATTTGTTGGCCCTTTTAAAAAAAGTATAAATAACGCTATAATATAATCATAGTCTTATAAATGTACTATTTAACACTAAACCGAATTTTGGTTTTAGTCTATTATTGCGGCTATTGTGCTTAAGGCCTTCAGACCCGGGCCCTTAGATTAGGTACTGACCTATTTATTATACACTAAGCGAGAGAGACTTAAACAGCTGTTAATGGTGTGATAACAAAAACCGAAAGTAGCACAATGAAAAGTTCAAAAACGCAAGTTTAACTGTAAATGTGCAATTATTGTTGTCAATACAAACAAGCTTGTGTGTGCAATGGTCAAACATATTCCAATGTATAGTAGTTATACGTATAACCCGTCGTCTATTGTATAATTAATCGAAACCCGTTTGTTTGTCAATCAGGTGACGAAACCGTTGCTAGAAAGAAAACGCCGAGCCCGGATCAATCGATGCTTGGACGAATTGAAAGACCTGATGTTCACCGCGTTGGAGGTGAGACAATGTTTTTGTAATTTTTATTTTTTTTTTGTTTTACAAAATTTGTAATATTGCAAAATGTACTCAACTCGACCGTCTCGTCGCAGGCCGAAGGCGAAAACGTGGACAAACTGGAGAAGGCAGACATTTTGGAATTCACCGTTAAACACTTACAAAAGATCACCCGGAGGGATCCCGTCGAAGAAGCGTACAAGTTTCAAGTGAGTGTTGATGTGTGTGTGTGTATTTTTTTACCTAACCGCCCGTCCACCAAATTACAACGTGCATTACTCGTTCGGGCAAACGAAACGCAATATTTTCTGTTTAAATTACACGAAATCTGACCAGTCACTTTTGTGTTATTAACCAAATAAGCACATAATAATATACAGCGCAGTCCACGTGGCCGCATAACGTCACACAATCTTCACACGGTCTAGAATAATTATTATGTTATCCATAACGGCCGTATCCGTTTTGAACCCAACCGAAAACATGTGCACCAAGACTTGACGGCTATACCCTATAGTGTTGTACACTAGTAGGACGGAGTGCACAATGTACACATGCGAATATATACAGCTCCTCCTCTATATTGATACTATTTAATTAGAACTGTTATTAAAAAATAATAATGTGTGACATCTGTTCAAATTTATTACCATAAAACGCTCAATGCCTAATGGTACCCACAGGATTAAAGTTCCACACTAGCTCGAGTGCCATAATAATTATATATATATATAAAAAAAAAACGCTGTTGATTTAACGATTAATTAATTTGTTATCTGTATGTCCGACGAAAATATATACTTGTAGATGTAGAAGAAAAAATTATTTAGCCAAAGGATTAATAAATAATATCCTTTGTTGCTTTACCAGTATCGATTTGAAAAATGTATTAATGTTAAGGAGACTGCATGCGGTCTGTTTTTTTTGACGTTTTAGACAAAAAAAAAACCAGACAAAATGTCGACTACTTAGGATGGTCCAATTTCAATTTTGTAAAAGATACACGAGTTCTTTGGCAACTTTACTATAGGTTATGTACAAAACAAATTTTTGGTTTTTTTCTGCAAATTTATTTTATTTAATTACAAGAAACTGAAATGTTTAAATGTAAATCAGCTTCTTACACATTAACATAGTAAAGTAGCCAAAGAACTCGATCTCATTACAGAATTGAAATTGGACCATCCTAAGTAGTCGACATTTTGTTTAGTTTTTTGGTCTAAAATAAGCCAAAATGGCTTTTATTCGTAGAAAAAATTACATAAATTAAAAACAGTACCTTAAATTAAAACAACTGTTTTTCTTAAATATTGCCTATACAAAACTCCGTAAAAACAGGCTTCATGCAATAATAAAAATATAATATATTAAAACTATAAACATTTATTTTTAACTTAACGATTCTATTTTTTTAGTACTTAATTTTATTTCAAACACTTCATTCGTTAGATTCATAAAATATTTCTTATTTTCAGTATCCTATTGTGAAACTATTATAAATATGTATTATTAATTAATTCAATACAAAATTAATAACATTTGGGCAGGGTATCAAGTGGTATTTTCAAAGCGTTTGAAATAGGCATTTAATTTTTTCTCCTTTGTTTAATAGATAAAAACATGGTCTGATTTTTTTGCAAATTAAGCGACACGATTTTTTGTTTGTCAATTTGTGTTTAATTTAATGTTTTTGAATACTCTCATCCAAAATTGTGTGACTTGGAATATAGCTTTGGTCATAATATAAAAAAACGTTTATTAATAATTGGTCTGATTGTGAAAGGTATTTTCATAAAAGTTCACGACGTATAGGCTAAATTGAAACAGACTTACAGCTTGTATTCACTAATTGTAGGTTATAAAAAAATGTATTACCTCTTTCGAGTTGGTCAGACAGCTTGTGATGGACATATTTAATTATCTCCCATTTAGGCACTTTAATCTATACATGTTATACCTTAATCTACACAACCTATTCTCGTTTTTGATTACTGTTATTGATATTTTTGTTTTGTATTTGTTTTTTCGCAGGAAGGTTTCAGTCATTGTGCCAGCGAAGCTTGCAGTTTCCTGTTGTCGCTGCCCGGCCTGGACTCTGTGGTCGGCCGACGGCTTGTCGAATACTTGGCCAAGTCAGTTTCCCGAGCCCTCGAATCCCAGATACCGTCGACCGTTGCAGGCAAATCTCCTGTAGCCGGCCTGCCCGCCCTAGGCTCACCCGCCATCTCCGCCGTCGCCCTGGCGGCCGTGGAAACTCCCGGCAGCCGAGGGTCCTCTCCTGCCGGCCCTTCGCCACCACCCACATCGCTGCCGCCGCAGCCGTCCATTTTGCAGCCGGCCCCTCGCATGGGCAGCCTGTCTCCACCGGCGGTCGCACTCTCCCCCAAGCCCGTCGCCCTGTCCGCGTCCAACCGAAGCCACATGGTGATCAGGCCGAAGCCCACCAGGCCGTTCGCTCCGCACGACATCCAACAGGCCATGCAGCGCGACCCAATGTGGCGGCCTTGGTGATGGAATTCCCATAGCTATAAAATATAATGTTTTGTTTTTGTCCGAATTATTAACTGTTATCGATATTTTTGTACTTACCAAAATCCGACCCAACATATTATTTTGTATATAATTTTTATGCGATTATTTTTGTATGTTAAGTTTATATAAGTATATATTATTTTTGATTTTAGTCTATCTACGTATATTTTTTTGTCCGAGCACTATATAATATGCACAGTCCAAGTCTATTTACACGGTATTATGCTCTAAGACGCTGGGGGCATCGTATCTTTATTGTAGTATTAGTTTTTTTAAATTTATTTACATTTTAAATTCACTATTTATAAATATATATGTACTTGTTTTTAATAAAAAAAAAATAATAACAATAATAGACGGCCGCTGTACGGACCATTTTGTTAAAATTATTTAGTGTTTTTTTAAAATTTTGTTGTGATTTATTATGATCGTGGCGGCTACACATGTCGACGCTGAGTATGTTTTTTACAATATATTATAGTGTCCTATCCGCTTTAATAGCGTATGAGAGTAATGGTAATTAGTTATCGTTTACATTAACAAAGAAAATGACCCGACCAGTCTGCAAACATGATAAGTACAGGACACTTGACTGGGATTTATTTTAAGTATTATTATTATTTTAATATGCGTTTAAAGGCGTGTGTTGTACCGGTTGAAGAGTCTTCTCTTGACTTTGTGCTTACATGACGATCTCATCGTTGTTGCAATTGTCTATGTACTTTTATGATCAATCTGAATTGTGCGTATAAGATTTTTACTCGAGGTAAAGTTTGTATTTTTGATTTATAAACGTTCGACCTAGCTAACTTATTTACTGTTGATTAGATCTGCGCTTTAGGTCTAAAATTGCCAACATATTATTTTTTTTTAAACAAAAATATAGAACTTTTTAGCACCTCGCGTGTGTTTGTTTTAAATACAATTAACGATTAAAAATATATAATAAAATTGGCTCTACTAAAGTAGTTAAATAAATTTATTGACAGACAATTAATACATTTTAAAAAGTGTTTATGAATTCGAATAATATTGTTTATGTATTAAATTAAAAAAAAAAATCATGGATGACTTTAATAACGAATGGCACAAATGTAAATGTAGATTTTTTTTGAAAACTAAGTGTTTTATAAGGTTAGCATTACCTACTCTCACACCATCCTATTTTATAGCGTATCACTACATTAAACGCATGCGGCGTTAATGTATTTTATGTTTCTGTAAAGAAACGGTTGTACTCAAAACGAGGTGCGACGTTTTATATTATAATAATAAGTTTAACTATTACGCACACATCAAAATTAAGTAGTGTATATATTTTTTTTCAATAAAATATAGTGCGGTATATATATTTTAATATTTCCGAAGTCGATATTGGTTTGGCCGTCGAGATTATTAGGCTATTTATCTATTCTGTGTTATCAGAACAAATACAAACTTGTTGATAACGTATAACTTATACATGCCGGCATGCCGGCTTACACATACTATAGTTTTTTTTTTTTTTTTTTTGGACCATAAGCTAACGTGGAGTAGACTAAAAACCGTTTAAGTACGGTGTGTGCAGAGGTGTCAGAGTCGGACACACGTCTGGCCACGGTCCGTCGAGTCCGCGTACGCGTACAAATTACACTTGGACGAATTACTAAAAACCACTTACATAATAAAAAAAAAAAAAAAAAATAAAACCAACTATAACTCCTTATGTCGTACCGGTTGTGCGTATGTACCTACACATATTATGTACATGTATGATAATAATAATATTATGTTCGTAAACCGTTTAAGGTACGTGTCGTCGGTCAATCGTTGACCGCCAAGGGATGCATAGGTACCCAAATAGAAGTTTGTAAGTATATATTATTAGAATGTATAGGGGGGGGGGGGCATGATTTATTTTGTCGAGCGCTGTGGAAATGATCAATCACGCACCCCGTCGGTTTCACACCTTCACGGTCAAGTAACCGGGATATTATACGGTTTTTATGCCGACCGTAAACAGCCATGGCCAATGTTGTTTGTATTTCTAGCTTCTACACCTTGATAAAAAAAAAAAAATTGTCGAGAGTTCCATACGGGTGGATAATATTGTTCTAATCAACGCCAACGTTGACAATTCTGATAAATACAAACAGACTGGACTATAACGACTGTATTGTGTATGCAACCATAAAAAAGCCTGACGAGAAGTCACTGTACTCCATTGACCGTTAAACTGCGGTAACTCTGGTAATAAATTGCCGACCGTTATAATTAGCTAGCACGTATTGTAATAATAATTGCTATTATCTGTTTGAATTTTTTTTTTTTTTTATTTGTCCACAAAGAATTAGTGTAAACGATTTTTTAATAAATGGACTCGTAACAATAATGTTTGGTATACAATTATACAACAGCTTCAATGCGCGTTTGTATCATTTAAAAAGTACCATAAAAGATACCAAAATGTAGTTATTGCGGTACGTACAAATTTGATGCCAAGCTAAACATCATAATAAATACCGTATATTTTGTAGTTACAATGTTGTAATATTAATGCGATTTTGAAATTTTGTTCACGCTACATCTGATTTTTTAGCGTAAACTGGTACTCTGATAACGCACAAAAGAACACATAACACATTTTAATGGTACAACACAAATAATTGAAGGGCTCTTGTAAGTGTTATTAGTGTTAGCTAAGTACAAATGTTATAGTTGAATTGGGAATTTCGAAAAGGGCTCATATCGGAAAATTAAAAAAAATTTTCAGGAAACTCAAAAAACTGATTTTCTTTTTGATTTTGTTAAATAGGATGTTTTTTTCATCACAATAGACAACAGATTTGGGCCCTTTTCCGGCACAGAGGTAGAGGTGTTGCGACTTGCGGTCGAAGGCGATCTTGGACCACGTCATACGGGCAACGGGCAATAGGTTTTTCAAAACGGACGCGCTGCAAGCACACCTGTTGCAGCTCAGCGGTCTCGTGTGTATAATAATTTCAATATCGTTCAATCGACAGAAATCCATAACCAGATAACCGCGGTTGGGTCCGTGCGGTTTCTGCCCTTCGGCCCTCGCACCGCTGGCGTACAGGACGGCAATTTATAACACTAATAATAATAGTAATCATCATGCATCATAACGGGGGCTGTACACCAGTGGGTGTACAATACTATATACTGTCATGCTTGTTTTGTGAATGGAGAGCACGTTTTCATTGGCCCGAGACGTGACGTTCGTTTGGTCGCCCCGCGCCGGCACGGACAGCTTGACCGCGCGCAGACCAAGAAGAACACACGGGTATTAGGTGTAATATTATAATAATACATGGCCATATGTGTGTGTGTGTGATACAGTGTGTAACGTGTCATTATCTGATTTATCAATAGACGTGCGGTCAGCTATGTAGTAGATTTTTTTTTTGGTTCTGGACTTGGATAATGTTATATAGTAATGTACCGCTGGTGTAATATGAAATACTATCCCTACGCGATCACCGCCGTTGTTGTTGTACAGGTAATTATATATACCATTCCGATGAGGTGGAGCGGTATGTGTGCCTCTAAACCCGTAGGTATACATAACAATATTATAAACCGTAACGACAACGTAATCAAATATATCAGTAAAACAAAAAAAAAACATTGAAATATTGATTGAAAAACATAAAAAAAAAATATATATATATTATATATACCTTGTTTCGGTGCGTTGAGTGTTCTTTGTTTGGTGATATATCGGTTTTCTATTAACATCGACCGGAACGGATAGAATAAAAATACATAGGTACATCTATACTACCCCCTACAATGAAAAAAAAAACAAACGGGCACGGTTGTGTGTTTGTTCCGGTTGAATAGTATGTGTGATAAAAACTGAAAACTAAAATGAAATATCAGTATTCCCCCCCTCTTGTTTGTTTAATACATTTGTTAATTTAAGGAGATCTGGGCCCTCACCTATCTTGAACGATTATTAAAACAACACAAAGTTAATATCAAAACAGATCCTTCTTTTCTATGGCAATATATGATTAAACATATTAGCTTAATGTTTTAGCGAAAAATAGCCTATACAATGCGCCTTATTAATAAATGCTAGTGTAGTGGCCGCTTCATAATGTTAGCTTTCTTGTTTACTCATCAATATATTTTACACGTTCTAATGTAGGCATGCGTAGATGACCAAAATATTTATATCATAGATGGTAGATAAAGAAATTTGGTGTTTTTTTTTTTTTTTTTTACAGGGTTTTTTTTACAAATTAATGTTTCTTACGACTCCGGGCGCGGCATCTGAATATTTAGTTATACAAAGGTCAAACGGGAACGGTTTTTTTTTTCAGCTGAAAAACCGTATACAGACTAATTTACAACCGACTAATTTATCGTTATTGTAAATGTGAATTTAATATTCGAACGCCGTTAACGAGTGATGTCGAATGATACAACAGTGTAAATTACTTACACCAAAACAGCCAACTCGGGAACCGCTTGTCGTCAGTCCGGTTTTTTTTTTTTTTGACTTGTCAAATAGATTTTTTTGTTTAATCATTTTGATCTTAACGCGTTTTGTCACACGTTTTCGCGACTACCCGTCGCCTCCGCGATAAATCAATAATTTATGTACAGCTCGGCGAGTACAAGGATTGTAAATAACACATAACATCATCATAACGGTTGTGATATATTACGACTGATTATCAATTTTGTAATAACCGTAAGTCAATTGTCAAAAAAATAAAAACCTTAGACTTATGTTAAATTATATTCGGGGACGGTGTTGCAAAATTATCGAGAGAGAAATCGCCTCTCAGATACAGCGTAGGCTATTCATTAACATATTATTCGTACATGTTAGTACTGCACTTGTTATCAACATAAATTCAATTTGCGTACAGATTCGGATGGGTTAAATTTTCACCACCGGGAAAAAACATACAATAAAAAAAAAGGCCCATAGCTTCTTTCAAGTACACGGGACTGACTTGAGCGAGACTTTGCTCCGTACATCCCCTTCCTTATACACAATGTATTCCGTTTTATAATTTTTATCATAAACATTAAATAGGTTTTTTTTCATTTAAGAGGGCGTCGCACCGGTGATTTTCAGTGGTAAAAACATGTTTAAGCAGACTGAAAATAACTCGTTTGATTTTGGTTTTAGAGTAAAAGCATCCATTATAAAATTAAAAGAGAACAATATTCCGTAGGGCAAAACGGTTCGTTTTAAAAAAAAAAATTATTTTTTTGAAAAGTTCCAGTCATTTAAAAATGTTAAAACAGTTATTATTTCTAAACTATGCATTGAACGTTATACTTGGAATAATGAAAAAAGCGCACCGTCTTGCCCTCCAGAACATTGTCATCTTTTAATTTTATAATGGGTGCGTGCTTTTACTCTAAAATCAAAATTAAGCGAGTTATTTTCAGTCTGCTTAAACATGTAGAGATGAAAAAATATTTTAAAATCGCTTTCAAGGATGCTGTGATAGTCCGAAAAATAAATTAACTACCAAAATAGAGTCCTAGTTATTGAACTAATAGTTACACATCACAGTTTAACCTTTAAATTAAGATTTTGTGAAAAATTGCCTATACTTTACTCCTTAAAAATAGGCGGTGCGACGCCCTCTTCAATTTTAATATCAATCGTACTTTTTTTTTTGTTCAACCTCCGAAAATGTAATCAATATTAAATTAATGTAAAAACTGTGTAAATGCTGTACTCGGTATATGATTAAAAATACATTGAGCGTTTACTGAAAAAATGTTTAATACATTGACTATTGTAGTATTAAAATTGTTAACTTTTCACTTGGTTTGGAGGGCAGAATCGTAGTTTCAATAATTCTTATTATTACAATAAGCATGAAAGGGTTGATTATTTTTAGAGACGCCGTATTCTGCTAATAACATAGGTATTAAATAATACATTAGTAACTCTTTGTGATGATTCGGCGTGTGACGATCGGCTTCGATAAAACGTTTAATAAAGAAGTAACATAATAAACATTCCATACGGCGATGGCGCGTGTGTGTGTGTCTTATTCGGCTAAGATGGTATTAAAATGTAATTAACATTATCGTTATTGTCAGAACGTATGTGTGGAGATATTTTTCCTTATCCTCGAGGAACGATTTCCATGTCGACCGAGCGAGCTGGGTGTGATATTTCCACGAGACGGTCAATGCGCATAAGAAGACAAAATATTAACCAATTAACGAATCTGCCGCCGTACGTTTCAAATAATTACTCGTGCAACGAACCTATTAGGCGACCGATAATCATTTGTGGCCGTCGTAAAAGTGTCGTTAACGGCAAACCGTTGACCGCAATTCGATTGAAACCGAACAAAACACAACGGCTTCACTTTAAGTTGGGCTACTCGCGTACAAGACACCGCCGTCTGCTAGTGTTGCATTTGGATTTCCCACGGCAAACACCGTCCGGCCAACGATCGTCACCATGAAGTCTGCCGGCGCCGTTCTCGTGGTAGTTGTCGCACTCGTGTCTTATTACATCTGCCAAAGCCAGTGTTCGTACGTTTCGCCAAACGCACTGCAAAGAAGTCGCCGTCAGTTTTCGTTTGTTCAAGACCTGTACAACGGTAAAACCGTCGACCTATCGACGATTGTGTTTGTGTACCGCGAGTGGCCAAAAAGGTAACGTAAGTACTCCGTCACGCGTCCCGAATTGACGAAAAAATAAAATAAGGGGGGGGGGAGGGGAGAAGGAGATTTTGGCGAGGAAAGGTCGTTCGAGGATTAAAAATCCGCGCACGCTACACTAGTCTCGTTTTTACCGTTTCCGGAATCTCAGAAAATGAGGAATTTTTATACAAATCGACATTGTTTAACGAATGTCGTTATTTAAAATAAAAATGATACCTTAAAGTGATAAAAGTGATACCTAAAACGATATTAAATTTAATCATATGGAAATCGCTGTACTGTATTGTTAATATTTTATTATGTTTCTTATTTTTTTATTAGTTTTTATATTTTGCTCTACATTTTTTTGACTACACTTACTTTATATAAATTTAAAAAAACCGTTTTTTTAATTCATTTTTTAGGAAAAATATTTTCCCAATTTTTTCTGGAAGATTATCGGTTTTTTTAAAAAGAAATTTGGATCTCTACATTTTTCCATTCACCCCAAATGTTACCCAACATACAACACCTATTCGTTGCCTCCTCCTCATCCAATTTTACATTATTCTACTCTTCACGGGGGGAGTTAAGGAGAGGGCGGCTTTAGGGGAGGGTCACTCCAACTCAAATATTTCTGTAGCTCAATCAAGTTTTTTTCGTTTTTATGTAATGTTCACTAATTGTGAAAAATGTTTGTGCGCCAAAAAATAGTAAATTAGAACAGCTATTTAAATTATGTTCTATATAATAAAAGTTTTACAAGGTCGTCATAAAAGATAACACAAAATTCATCAAAGTATTAATACTTATTACTTTAAAGTCTAATTTAGTGGGGGGGGGGGATACCCTTCACGGTTCAGATTTACCAAAATGTTTTGCTCCTCTCTGAAATAGTGACTCAATTTCGCACGTTCTACTATTTACACCTTTTGTCAATTTCATAACTGATCTCAAATTTTAAATCCCAATAATTCCTCTATTCTATTTTTGCTATATTTTTAATTGGCAAATTTACTTTTGTCATTTTTTTCTTGCGTGACGGAGTATTTATATTTAAGTTACCTTTGACTGCCTCTCGGCGTAATATAGTTTTATGGATTGCGCTTTTGGGTAAAAACGACAGTAAACTCATAACATCATCATTTTGTCGGCAACGTCTAGCCGACCCTTACAGTAATTGTTTTTCTACAAGAGAATTACTATCTGAGAGGTGTTAAAGGCGCAGTCCATGATATTATAACATGTCAATAATTTTTAGGTCGATGGGTAAAACGCTAATATACCTATATTGTATTATATATCTGTGCGTCACAGGTAAGATAACTTAAAAACTGGGAAAACTCTGTCATTGTTTAAACCATTATGGCAAACAATTGCTTAATTTTGTCGAGTTAACGCTATCTGATCGGTGACCATAGATCTCATAACCGAAGCATGTAAAGTTGTTAGCCTGTTTTATACCATTTGTGGGGTTGGTTTTAGCGTGGTACTGTAGGCGGAAGCAGTGTCCAAATTGGAGATGTCAAGACGATTCGGCAGTGATACACGGATACTGTTGCGGATGTCCGAATTCTTTAGGAGGTAAAGTAAATTGATAATATTGCGCCAATCGCCTCCCATCTCCAAGTAGGCATCAAAACTATATACTATAGTTGCCCACGAATTGCCTCCAGGTACAAATTACCTGATTTACAAAAAAAAATCCGTTAAAGAATAATTATAGTATATTTCGCAATATTTTATGCATTAACAATTTGTAACCTAACAAAAAATGACAAACTGACCACACGTTTGACGACGATCGACATAGTTATGTTATTATCTGCGGATTATCCGATATTAATGTAAGTACATAAGACTCAGGTAGTTCGTGGTGTTTCTTAAGTTGTGATTGCGACTCGCCTGGTAATGCATTTACATGTTTGCTATTTTATTATAAAAGTAGCAGTTTGAGAAGTGTAAAGTGAAAAAGCGCACAAAACTTAACACTTTAAATGGCTACAAATGAAGTTTCGAAACAAAATTTAACGATGGAACACGTTAAAAAAAATGTAAGCGCCGTTGGAAGGATCGTAGAAAGTATAATAGATCATAGTCACAAAGTTCAATCAGATCAAGTATTAAATTGACAATTAATAATGAGTAATACACTTTAAATAAATTAACGATTCTTTTTTTTATTTAAACAATATTATACACAATTATTATCATCAGACATCAGTTATCTAAATTGACAATTAATAATGAGTAATACATTTTCAATAAATTAACGATTGTTTTTTTATTTAAACAATATACACAATCATAACCATCAGGCATCAGTTATCTATTGCACATACTACTTTGAACTAAAATACGTCAAAACACTATATTATGTATTATTCTAGTATTAAAATATAGATATTTTTGTAAAAACTACTCTAAAACAAAATTGTTAGCAACATCTAGTGGATATGCTCCATAAGGACAGAGTAGACAAATGTGTAACTGATGGCGCCACCTAGTGACTAAACTGTTGTGGAACCAGTTGTGTTAGCACCACGTCGATCGCTGCCGTCCGTTTACATGTTTTTCAACCGGTTTGTCAGATAGCAGCACATACACCTTCGATTGAATTGAAACGACATTTGCTTGGGGAGTTAACTGGTTATGACTAACTGAGATAACTGCTGTCTGATTATTAACAAAATCATTTCAAAAACTCCTTTAACGAAAATCGCTTTAAATTGAGATTGATAAAATATATATTTCGTTCAATTTATACATAACAATTACACAAGTAGATATTTTCCTACTTTACAATCATTTTTTTCAATATCTTAAACTAATAAAAAACAAAAAACACCTTTAAAATAATTTCCAAAGGTTACAATGAAACGTTTACATGATTTTAATCGTACCTATTATTTAATATTTGTGAACAATCAACACATTATTATGTGCAAAATATAATGTAGTTATCTAAATAGCCATCACTGTTGTGTTAGCTTATTGATTGTAGTTTTTGCTTAATTAATATATTTTTTTCCAGCTAACGTACCGGTCTTATGCGCCGAAGACTTAAAGTGTCCACTGAAAATGACCAACCTTTGCCAAGATTACAGCTACATGCTAACGTGTTGCTGCACAGGACTTTAAGACTTGTAATAATTTTAGATAATTTATTTTTATAAATAAATCAAATGTTTCATAGCTGTGAAAAGACATGTGCATAGTGCAACGTGGAGATATTTATTGTTATTAGATAATCATATTGTGCTTTCACAATAATATGCCGTCAACGGCAAATGGATTATTGTTGTTTGAATCTTATTCGTTATTCACCACAGTCATTTTGTGCGGTGTCTGTCATTTTAACTGTCCATGTCACTTATATCTAAGTGTTAAGTGCCAAGTTAATTTTATCTCTTGAAGTGTTTGAACACTTAGTTTTGGCTTTTGAAAAAATTAAGTACAATGTACGAAAGGATTGAACGTAAACGTCTAAGCGGGTTGTATTATTCTTATGTTCTTCATAAATCTTAGCATACAAAATACAAGCCTCAAGCCTGTACATGATTATTGTAATGGAACTTATCTTATGGTTTTTTATTTTCTTCTTTTTTTATGTAAAAAAAAATTTGGTTTTAATATTGAAAAAATTGCAAATTTAATTTATTTAATTACAAGACACTGACATTTTTAAATGAAAATCGACTTCCTACATAACATAGTAAAGTAGCCAAAGAACTCGACTCTCTTTACAGAATTTAAATTGGACCATCCTATGTAGTCGACATTTGGTCTGTTTTTTTTTTTGTCTAAAATAAACCAAGATGGCTTTTATTAGTAGAAAAAATTATTTAAATAAAACATATTCCTCGAAGCTTATACAAATTAACCGGTAAATTAATTGACATGGTCGAAATTTATTAAAACCTATTTTTTTTTAAATTATTGTCTATATAAAACTCCTTAAAACAGACCGCATGCAATCCCCAGGCAATACGAATATTGACGAATATTGAAATAAAATAGCAGCGGCATAACCTAATGAAACGTTTCTCGAGTGCTATTATTTTTTTTTTTCATACCACATACATAATATATAATAAAATACGAATTTTTGCTATACTCGGCGTTTACGTTGGTTAAACAATCAGTGATGGGCTACAAGTGGTTTTAGCTTGCCAATCTGTTGTCTTTATTTAAACCTCATCAAACATCAATAATATAAATCCGTTTTAAACGCACAATATAATCAATTGACATTATTGTTAAAGTGAATTGAAAACTTGCAATCTAACACGGTGTTTAATGAAAATAAAAAATACTTGTGTGTCAATTTTTTATCATCAGAAAAACGCGTGTCCCTACTGCACCTGTGTATACTTCAGGGCACCACTGATCTGAAAAGTCCCTGCTAGATCCACGTTAGGCCGGTATCCTGTGTTCCTGAGTTAACATAAATCGTATTTTCAACGTTGGTGTGCGTATGACCTATAAGTGAATATGTTCTAGGCCGTGCACGAGCTAGTGTATACCTATGTACATAATGGGTGTATTATATTATATTATTATAATACTGTATGAGCGCGTGCGTTCATCACGGATGCAGAGGAGCGCGCGAGGACTCTGCAGCTCGTGTTTGGGGCTTTTGTGTACAGCATTGAAGGTGTTGTGTGAAAAACAAAATGTACAAAACATATAACATGAAAAAATGTACTTATTTTTTTTTTTATTATTATTATTAGTATTTTCAACGTCACAGACTAGGACACGACGACGACGACGACGACGACTCTTTATTGCCCGGCCGGACGGTGATTAGCATAAACACAAATGGGCGAAAAGCCGACACAAGAAGACCTTCCAATACGGTGATTTACACTATAAAGGCCGGGCGGACCGCCTTACTTGTTATGTCAGCTACGTGGAAACAACAATAAAAAGAGACGCGAGCGCCAAACGACCGACGGCTCGTGCGATGACAGTATTATTATTATTACCATTATTATGTAGTGTTACGTTCTCGTTATTGTACTTTTTACAAAAAAAAAAAAAAACCACAACGTCGACGAATAGGCTAGGTAATTTTCGAAAATCCGTAAGACAAATAACATGCGCTTGCCACGGTACGAAGAAAAATGAACAATATCAATAAATATAAACTTTAAATGAATTGATTGGGCACAGGGGAAGAAGGGCATTTGTCCATTTATGAACATCATTTAGGAGAGCAAAAACAAATAGCTAGTTTGTGCGTACAAATCTATGCGTCAACCGTTTTTTTTGAACAGTAAGTTGGCCATCACCTCTCTCTTTCACCAAATGGATTTCAAAATTCGACGGTAGCCCCCAATGTACCATTGAATAGTGCCATTATTTTAAAATTGAAAAAAAAGGACAAATACCCTTCTTTTCCTTCATATATATATTAGGTACCTATTAATTACAGAATGATGAAATAAAATCGATAACCGACTGACTTATAAGAAATTTGGAATTTAAAGTTTACGCGAGGAAGAAAGTGAGGGCGAATGGTGTTTACGGTTATAACTGACATTACAATATACATTACCACAGGTTGCTATTTTACATAAAAAAGTCACCACTTAGTATTTAACTACGCTTTTAAAAATAATACTTTTGTTTTTTAAGTAAATATTTCAAACAAACTTCAACCAATTAATTTGTGTATATTTGTGCTAAACATGTAAGTTGTTCGGTGCAAGTCGGTGAGAAATACTAATGTATTATTCCATGGTTACTTTGTTAACATTTCATACTATTTTAGTCTCTAAACCACTTTTATTTGAACTACTTAAAATATGAGCAAATCTTGGCTAAGCAATTCTGGGGAAAAGTCTACTTCTATTTTTCTGTCCAAAATAAGAAATTAGTGGGTACGTTAGACGTATTATTAAGCAATGCAACATTTTGACGGGCGATTGCAAAATTTGTAAAGTTGGTATTTAAAATGCTCAATATTTATGCAATTCAGAAAATATACTTGTAATGCTGCGAGTGCAACAAATTGTATTGGAGAACTACAGAAGAATTTACCTACCACAAAACAGAAAAAACCTTAGGCTTCATCACTTCGGGATGGGATTACTTAGTCGTTGTTTTCTTCTTTAAACCCAAAAACTACCATTCTATACGAAATTCTAGACGGTATAAAATATTAAAACAAATTATCTACCATTTATTAATTTATTGTAAGTACACCATAAAATGCTTTTTTCATAATGTCATCGGTTAGTTTGAAATTGCCAGACTAAACATCAGTCACCGCGTGCGGCCGCCTTGGTTTAAAAACGAACGGGGTGGATTGTTCGTACACGATTTCACCGGCATTGTTGTTTTACACGTTATACATTTATAATTGTATGAGTATTCATAGGAATATTTATGAAAAGTGAATAAGACGGTACAAATGCCGTTAATTTGTTTGAACCTTGAATACATTTAATCTATGACGATATTATGTACACGACATTTCGGTATGCGCATAAATTTAGAGGTTTTTTCCTTAAGGTAAATACAGACACTTGGTCAAGTAAACACCATGTTTGTCGGCATTCTTATGGTACGGTAGCCGTCACATATTTGTCATCCGACTCGCGGGAACGACATAAATTACTACATAATAATATAAGCCACACGAAATTCCAATTGTTCCCGGTTTAAAAATTACACATGCTTTTCGAGGTCACGTTGATTGAAGTAGTTTTAAATTAAAAAAAAAAAAAAAATAATAATTTCAATATTTATATCGTTGTAAATTGCACAATTATAGAGGGAAGGAAGGTGGGAGAGAGGGGGCGTCTTGTGGCTGGCCCAAGATCGCCTCTACCCAAGCCTTCTCAAGTTGTTAGAAAAATAATCGAAACACAATAACCATTAGTTGTTGTTAATTTAAAACAATTGGATGAATACATATTTTTAATCTCAAATTTTCTAGTCAAAATATCCCAACGCGTTTGTATACATTGTATTATTCAGCGTTAAATAAACATAATAATAAAAATACAAGTATTATTAGAGAAAAGAGCTCAATTCGACGGTCGCGCCGAAACGGTGACAATGAATTGCCTATATCGAACGCCTTGCAATAGATATTTTAATGTTTATCTAAACAAACAACATACGTACTCGGTTCAAAATAAGAAGCGATCTCGGCGGCCATCCGAAAGGCCACGTAAAACCCCGGTTTTCAGGTAGCCGCCGAAGTCGATTCTTAATACGAACAGAGTATAGACTACATTTAAAAATTGTTTTTATCATAACCCCTATTGGCAGTATACATAATATTATGATTTCCGTTAACGGTGTTAAACTATAACAACATACAACTTTGTGATCACATTTTTCCATATTATCGCATTCGGAATAATTATTGTTGTATAAAACTGTTGTAATAAATTATCGATTCGATTTTATTGTTTGTTTACTTTTTATTTATTTTTTTCCGCCGTCTGTATTGTATAATAATATATTATTCGTATCATACGTATGCTTTATTTTATAAGTGCACGGTTGTATCTACTTTATTAACGCCTGCAACATACATACCTTTAACGACGTTTTGAAATAATATTCTTATCTTGCAAAAGGGGTTGACGGTTTTGCTTAATCATCCGTATTATTTATTTCTTCCTCCGCGACATCTTAAGTACGGATTTACTATTATATTATTATCTACCACAATACATGTACATTGTGTGTGTGTGTGTGTATGTATAAATACGTTTTTACGGGTCCTTGAAACGAGACACATAACGCGAATTATTATACATAATATATAGGTGTGTCGGTGCCAGTTGGGAAACGCAAATTGTCATTGCGGGCAACAAAGTGTCACTGTTTATGAAGATGTTTATTATCGGTAATTTTCTCTGAAGACATTATAGCGTACGACGGTTGTGATTTCACGTTAAATAAATGGTTTTATTTATGTGTTTTGATAGGACTAACACTGTTTTTTTTTATTGTTTGTTCACACGGCGAACCCGTTAACGGGCACAATAAAAAAACTCTCGGATATTATAGTTTTTTTTTTATACACAGCAATTGTGTTGTTACAACTGATTCACCATTAACAATATTATCCAACGAGTGTAGTAATGATACACTAATTAGTATATTACGGTTGG